TAGTTTTCGTTAACACACGTATGAGACAAATTATAATTTAAAAACAGAAAATCGTGGGGGAAAAGGGGTAGGGGGAGGGATTGCATGGTTAGAAAGTAATGTTTTAGTATGTCGAGCATAAGTATTATACTAGACGATTCTAATACAACGTCAAATCGACAAGCGTTAAGAACGGAAGCGTATATGTGGATATAATATTATCGTTAGTTGAAACTTTCGATTCGTGTATCGAATACCTGTCCAATCTGATTATCGTTAAGAAGGTATTGCTCTTATAGATCATTGCACGAGATGTTTTCTATACCAATTTTATATTCGCATCAACGAGTTGTATTCCTTTTTTTTTTTCTTTTTTTTTTGGTTTCTTTTGTTTGGATTTGAAAGCGCGTTAAACGATTTATAAATCTACAATACTATAATTGCGTACGAAGTATTATTTGTATTTTACTATTTTTTACTCTTTATTATTATTGTTAAAGCAAATAATATTGTCGTTTAAAAAAAAAAAATTATTAAAATACGTTTAGTGTATTATATTGTAGATATTTTTAAATCGTATAACTGCTTCTGCTTTTTCTATTTTTTTTTCTTTTTTCTATATTTTGAACGAATCAAAATGTTGGATAAAAGTAATTTTTAATAAAACAAATTAAATTTTCGTTAGAATAATCATGTTGGATTATTAGATTTTGATGAATTACTGTTATATATTGCACATGTCACATTTTTATTTAATTTAATTAAAAACATACTATAGAATTTAGAAATATTTCAATATTATTTTTATTGTAAAATAATTTATAGAAAAATCTAATTGTTTCTCGTGCATATAGGGAAAATTTTTACGAGTTTATTATTTTCGTTGTTGATCATATATAACTTTTTTTTATTATATTATCACAACGCGATTAAACAACAACAACAACAATAACTATAACAACACCGATAATAACACAGCACAACACAATCTAACACAATCTAACACAATTGCATTTGGGATTTAGCAATTGGTCGTGGCTTTTAAACTGCGTCGAGTATTTCACAGGGGACATTGTTTATGGCACGAGCACCTCTCGTTGCTGACCCTTCCGTTACATTACACCCGGTACTTTTCACCATGCTCGAACGGTAATTCAGTCCTTGTTTTTCCGAGGTCGAGGTCAGACGATTTGTAAGAACTATTATAAAATACGTCTCTATATTATATCTCTCTTATTAGTAGATATTTTTCATTCTCATAAATTATTTTCTTAATTTTTTGTTTTTTTTTTTTTCTATTTTTTCCTATGCAACGCTGACATTTTCTTTTGAGGGGGTGGATGGGTTGGTTATTGAAAGGGTTAAGTGTATAAAAGTCGAGATTGGAAACTAATATATATATTTATGTGTAATTATTATGTCATTGGTGTAAATTAAAATGAATTGTCATAAATTTAGGATGATTCAAAATAAATATTTAACATTTTGAGTATTGA